TATATAAACACTTAAAATACTAATTAATTGCAGATGATTAGCCGGAGCTGCTACTCTGTAAAACCCTCTGGGGCGTTTTGTGCATCTGAACAACAGTAAAATAGTTATAGATTTTTTAAGAGGAAACCAATATTATGCCACTAAATATATATATATTTCTGATAATGTGTGATGTAATAAATATATATACATATATAGGGCAGACAAAAACAATAGAATTGGTGGTGTGAGGAAATACCTCTGAGTGTGCTTTGTTGTCTCTATATATAAATATATATATATATATATATATATATATATATATATATATATATATATATATATATATATATATATATATATATATATATATATATATATATATATATGTATATTTATTTATTTAATTGTGGATATCCATAATACTTGGTCTTGTCACTATAATATTTGGCATGTCTATTGGTGTTACTTTAGCAAATTAGGCAATTTTACAAAAATAAAAAAATAAAAAAAAATACAATAATTATTAAATATTTTGGTATTTGGGTTGAAGTAGAGATTTATACTTAACTATAAAACAAGGCAAGTTGAGAGTAGATGATTTGTAAAAAAAAAAAATTTCGAAGTATATAAGAGTTGCTACTGCAAGTAGAGAGTTCTTAGAAATCCCTTTAAACATTTCAATTGTATTTTATCTTTTAAAATGTATCTAAAATGTTCATGGAATGCTCTTTAGAGCCGGTTTCAAACATGCGATTAAATGACCTCCAACCATCTATTTGGTGAGTAGAGTAGTATAAATTGGAGTTGAGTTTTATTTGTAAACCAACAAACCAAACTTGTATACAGTTAGACCAATAGTAAAGCACATACCTGCAGACTTTGATATTCGTTGGCCATATTTCTGAAATATGCTTAGCTTAAACTGAAACTTCGGGTCAACGCTTACGTATTTTACTCAGTTCATATATTGTAACAATTTCAATACTAAAATCTACGTGAAATTATACGTAAGAACCAAAATTTCAATGCTGGAATTTGATAAAAGGAAAAAATAATTGTAGATGAAATTACATGCACAACATCTTATGAGAGTATAAAGACCGGAGACTTTCCCATTAACACTTATGGGAATTAGTTTACGATGTTTTTTGCATCAGGCGTGCAAGAAACCTCTGAGTGATTCTTACATGTCTAACATGACATAATTTGA